GTGACCGCTGGCCTGTAAATGAGTGAAAACTGCAGAGTTCTGGCCATTAGATGTAGCTCGTCTGTGTTGGGACATTCTTTTGAACAGTGGTTGTTGATGAAACAGAAAAGTTTCATTAAAGAAGAACCCGTCCAGAGGACCTATACAATTTTTTTCCTTTTGATTTCTACTCTAGCTGTTTTACTTTGAAAGGGACAGGATGTTCCCCCACAGGTAACTTCATCTATATATGAGACGCAGCAGTTTTTGTACGATAGACATTTTATGAAACACTTGGTGTATATAATAAACAGGAAAACGTCTATCACCCAAAACTGATCCAGAACAAACTCACATTATGAGCCTCAACACGACCTGGAGCACAGAGGGGCTCACTTCCGTTTGAGTTTTAAAGACCATGTTATTGTATTTTCCACATCAACATTTATGTAATTGAAAATGACAATTTAACATAATTTAACATATTATAACATTCGACATGTGACACAGATAATAGTGTTTTTTTCCCCGAGTTTGATTTCTTTAGCTAGTAGACGAATCGTGCAATTTGTCTCCTTTACATAACCCTGGATAAAAGAACAAAATACAATCGGATGTCATATCCGTCGCAAATAAACAAAGCTAACTTGGTTAGCATAAATAAATGTTTAAATCAAAGCTCCTCGTGCCCAGCAGATACTTTGCGTTTGTTAGCACGTGCTGCGGACTCCCTCCTCACGTGTCATCTCACACACCTGAAAGACCGTCACAAGTTGTTTTAATCTAAATCTAGACTTACCTGGTCTCATGTTTTCCGCTGGACAACAGCTCTGAAACGAATAAACTAATTTATTTTGTTTTTCTCCCGCTGAAGACGTAACACGTGCACGACGTCTTCTTCTTCTTCGTCTCCGCTTCTTCTTCTTCTTCTTCCTCTTGTTTTGTTTGATGCCGGATGGCAAACCAACTGATGAGATGCATCACTGCCACCTACTGGACTGAAGGTTAATAACTCCATTCTCTCTATTAAGTTGGAGAAATTGATTAATAAAAAATAAGAGGCAATTTCGCGATTTTTAATTTATTTTGTGACATCAGAAGTTTTTTTTTTTACAGCATTATCATGTGTTCATCATCATGGTGTTTCGCCTACAGAATGTAAGTCCCCAGTCCAGAGCGCACACAAACCAGAAAAATCGGATTTAGAATGCTATGCATCGATTTCAACCCAACAGACCTCGAAATAGTAACATAATTAAATGCATTGTGCGAGTCTTTGCAGTTAAAATTATTTTAAACCAGGCAGCGCGCAGGGCGACTATATTCTGCAACTCTGCGAGAAGCGGAGACCCTAATGAATCATCATCTGTGCAGAACACAGACCATTTATAATCAGAATTTTATCTTTACGAGTCTCTGCTCAGTCCCAGATAAATACGGAAGCGGTCTTTGGTAGCTGCAGCTTTAAATGATTTTAAAAAAGCCGAGGCTCCAGAGAGTCTGACCACGAGTCTGACTGACAGTGACCTCTGGTGGCCAACTGCAGCCACAGCAAGAGCCACTAATCCCATGTCAGAAATAAAAGTTCAGAAAAGACTGAGGTCGCTTTAATCTGATGATATTTCTGTTCATTTATACTAATTAAAGATTACATCATTATTATATATTAAGACCTTGGATGTTGCAACAGAAGTACAATTGTTAAAATGTGAAAAGTTGTTAGGATGGCATTAGAATGAGTTTATGTTCATGGGATTATAAAGTTAGAGGCGTTCGACCTCCCAGTTAAAAAAAATGTGGCAGCCCAAATTTATTTAGTTTTTCTCTGACAGGGACAGTGTTTCGTGGGTCCAAATTGGACTATCCACCTCTTAACGAACGAGTACCAAGTAATTTAATATATAAATGTAACTTTTTCTGAGAGGACAGGTATTTCTAAGACCGACATCATGAAACACTCGTTTAAGGTTTGGTGTATAAGATAGAAAATCCTTGACCTGGAAAAATAAAAATCCAAAACTTTAAAAAAAATCATATCAATGACAAGATCCCGGAGAACTGGCATCACTGAAAGAAAAAAAAAATCTTAATCACTTCACTTCAGTCTGATGACTTTTAATCTGAGCAGTTGAGAAAA